TAGATAACCGACGATTATTCATAATTTTCACATTTATTACATTAACCGTAACAGAAACACTTTTTTCTTTTCTTTTTGCTTTATGTTTAATTTCTGTAAACTTGTCTGTCTACTGAAAATTTAAACAACGTTTCAAAATGTAGGATCTTATAACACAAAATTAATAAAAATTTACTTTTCGAGTTACGAGTATACCATAACTTTTAAACTATTGATTTTCGGAAATGCCTTAATGAGTTATTTATATCTATACAAATAAATCAAAAAGCTACAACGTGATTATAATAATCCTAAAAATTGCCATTTTATGCTGTGATGTGCATTAGATATGAATTTGCCTTACACAATTTCCTTAATAAACCTTTGGAAGCCATCCATATTAAGCATTTGAACCATCTCTAAAAATAATACTTAAGAGTCGATAACATCCATACTCAAAGACGGATGACGTGTCGATCAGCCATTATAAATAAGCAGTCAAAGTGGGGTGCATTGTGGAAGGTGCCGGAGGGAAGCCAATTGGCCTAATTGGACATCATTGGCGTGACGAAGCCGAGCTGGACCGACTGCGTGATCGTGACGTCAGATAGAACGAACTAGGATTTTTACCCAACTGCGCCAGGAGGGTTATTTATATTATAACAAAAACTGCCAACCAGTCAATATGGAAATCATTGTCCTGTGACTGAAATTATTATGATGATGAACAAGAACTGAATTGCCAAGTTTTTCATAATAATAGGCTTCCATTCCTTGCAAATGACGTGTTGTAAACGATTAAGCACTAATTTTATATAGTCTGTTTTAAATGCATAAATGTCAACATCCAAAGTTATAATAATTTGATATTATATTAACTTCACCCTTCATTAAGCATTGTTAGTCGCCTCAAAGGTTTTTTTTCCATCCCATACCTTTTCGTACATTTTTATAATTTGTAATTAGGTGCCAAAATGTTGTGTATAAAAGATAAAAAAACTTGCCAAGCGCTTATCGTAGAACGTGAAAAGATGAGTCAAATTCCTTGTTTTGCGGCATGTATCAAAGGGAAGTTAAACGGGTCTAATCAATTTTTAGAGGGGTGACGCGATAACACTATACAATACCGCTGGGTAGCCTGTGAGTGACGTCATGTAGCAAACAACATTATCTGCTCAGACAAAAGATTACAAATAACCTTCTGGCCTAATTTATAGTTTAAGTAGGCTCTACAACTGCATGCAGGAATATTTAATGAATGCTATTGAGAACGCCACTCTTGTAGCGGCTTTGGGCTGACACTGTATAGGTTTGTTGTTGACACAACAAGATGAAAAGTAGGCTCTACGTATTACTTTTACGACTATGATAGAGAAATACAATATTGAAATGGCACGGTTTAGGCAGTCTAATCGCTAGGAAGCAATCTTTTTCCAGGGAGAGAACAATAATTGTATTATCTATTTATTTCGTAAGCAAGTAACTTTCTTTTTGTTAATAGTAGTAATAGGTAGAGTTGCAAAACGAATTTCAAGGAATTAATGTTTCATTCTATGACATACACAATGTCTAAATAAAACCTAACTAAAGTCGTGCTTAAAAGAAATGTATGAAAAGCTTTAAAATCTGTGTGTGAAATTCTCTACTTTTCCGCGTATCTCTACCGTTAAACAAGTTGAATATCGTCTCGGCTGTATTTACTTATTCTCGAGTTGTTTATCCAATTAGAGCTGCCCCTCAGACGCAATTCAGGCAATTGGCTCAACGAGCTTGCGAGGGGACGGAGCTTTCTCCGCGATCCCGAGCTTTTTTTGCTCGCGTTTGCGTTTCGTAAGATAGAGATTTTAAAGCACATTTGTTTGAAATTAAATAGTTTGAAAACATGTTTGAAAATAAAAGTTTTATGGTGGTCTAAAAACAGTTGCAAAACGACTCTATTAATGCATATTCGCGGATACCTATTCAATCAATTTGAATAAATAAGAGCCTACTAATAAGATAAATGTGAAAGTTCTTGATGACATACTCGTACGTAGAGTAGTTTAGATCATTAGGAAAGGGACACGCGCGTGATATAAATTCAATCTGAAACTGATACATTTCACGCAGGCAAGGCGCAGGCAAAAACTAGTAAATTAATATAACGAAATTAACCGACTCAAGCTTCGCTATTCTAAAGCCCTAGCTAGATGAACGTAATCAATACCCAAGATGAACGTCCTAATTGTTTTCTATGCGCACTTGCGATAACAATATTATAACTAAGAAGGCCTCTTAGACCAAACTTTTGTTAGACCCTAAAGAATCTTTGTCTTCCATCAGCTAACGAATAAAATTCTCATCAAAACAGTACCAGCAGCCGCGCGGACATGTCAGACGGCCCGGCGACGCCTGAGTGGGACATCAACGACGCAGTGGTCCCTCGGGTGACCGCCTTCGACCCCTTCGGAGAGTGGTGCGACGGCCACGTGAGGCGCGTCTACCCTCCAGGCTGCGAGGAAGCCAGACGACACGCCTCTGGATGGGCCATGAGAAATACCAATAACCACAACGTCCATATCCTCAAGAAGAGCTGCTTAGGTGTACTGGTCTGCTCAGCAAGGTGTCGACTGCCCGACGGCTCCCGAGTGCATCTGCGACCCGCTATCTGTGATAAGGCGCGGAAGAAACAGCAAGGTAAACATTAAACCTTGGTTCTTGTGCTTGCATTATCGTAGAATTTATTTTATTAGCTTTTCTTTCAAGCAACTTATAAAGTTTTACAAGGACTATTAATTTAGTTAGTTATTTAGCTAGTTTAAATAAATACTGGACTCTCAAAAAGTATAAACACATTTCGTGACCCAAATAATGATTGGTTGAAATTATAACACTTCGAATAACCTTAATGGCCAGCATACGTGAGCTTAATGCAAGTCATTTGATAATAAGTATCCTAATAAAATCTATCTTTTGCAGGTAAACCCTGTCCCAATCGGATGTGCAACGGCGGCCGTCTAGAAGTCCAGCCGTGCCGAGGTCACTGCGGGTACCCAGTCACGCACTTTTGGCGGCACACAGAACACGCTATCTTCTTCCAAGCAAAGGGCGCGCACGACCACCCTCGCCCTGAGGCCAAGGGCGCCAGTGAAGTGCGGAGGACCATGGGCGCGGGCAGACGCGTGCGTGGCCTCGCCCTGCTGCTGGCCCGAGAGGCTGCAATAGCAGATAAAATACTCACAGTGAAGCCTGATAAGCAAATGCCGCAGAAGATCTGCACGCCACATCCGCAGCCGCCGCCGCTTATACCGGATAATCAAAGAGGTAGGCATAGTTTAAATTAAATTTTCTACACTTCTATCTCGAGTAGAATGCAATATGTATTTATTTTACCTACTTACTCGTTATTACGAGAACATGTACTTTTATGACGGCCCTTTGCGATGATCGTTATTACTTATTTCCTGCCCATTTGGTATTGTCCCACTTATAATTAATTAGTTATTTATGAATCTTTAAGAGTTGGCGCACACCGTTGATTTTTAGTTGGCCGATAGTTGTGCCCAATTTCAAATTGTATGAAGAATCGGCCAAATCGAATCGGTGTAGTGTGCGCACTCCCATACATGCCCATACTGATCAACTGCCCGACTAAACTATCAGCCGACGAAAAATCAACGGTGTGCGCCTACTCTTAAAACAAAACTATCGTGCCTATTTAACTATTTCTTTATTTCTTTTCAGGGCTAACGTGCACATGTGGTCCTTTCGAATGCTCGTGTCGCTGGCGCACTGAGCATCCCACAGAAGCTTACACGGCGCCCGCGTGGTCGCCGGCGGAGGCCCACGGATACGGCGCCTACGCCCCGCCCGCGCCCCCTGCCCCGCTACAACAGCAATACGACCCCACAGCACTCCCGGCCGAAGACATCTTCCACCCCGAAGAAATATTCCAACTAGATCAACCCATTCGCCTCGACTTCCCCATGGAAGAAAACACCCTGGAATCCCCGCCCACGTTCGCAGACCTCAACGACAATTCCAGACCCGAGGACGCCTACTGGCTCGACTGGCAGCGAGCGCCCGGTGGTTCAGAATCCAGCGAAACCCCGTCACCTGAACTCTTCACCCATGGTTATCAGCAAGCCGAGGCGTACTGCGAGCAGCAGAACTATCCGACACAGATGTACTACCCCGAGGAAGCTCAGTACTACCCAACAGAGAGTAGGACGTCCCCTGTCATGGATATGCAGGACCAGCGGTACTACAGGTACCAGGACTGCGGCCAGACCAATATGGAGATGCAAGCCAATTGGAATTACACCGATTGTGCGTTTCCCTCCAACGACGCGCCCGAGTGCAAACAGTACTTTGATGTGCAACACCATCAGGCCATGAACGCCTTTAGTGCCCTGTTATAATAGTTATTTTAGCAATATGTAAATAACTCTGTACAGTGTACATTCCTAGTGATTATCGTTTTTGTTATTACATACTTAAAAATTGGATTGTATGTACTACTGATATGTCTATATTAGGTGTATCGCTAGCTGCAGCCTTTGGTTCCTATGTCAATGCTAATAACATTAAATCTCGATATTGTTAAGACTAAGAATAAGTTCGATCTGTGAGGAAATAAAAACACAATTTGTACAAAATCGTCTATTTATTGTATATAAAAATTACATTAAAATTATCAATTTTACATTTTTTTATTTTCTAACGATAAAATTGGTCACTACAAAATAGTACAATTAAGCAATCACACGGTTGATTTATTATGCATTTGCAGTCGCAAAACATTCCAAAAACTGTCCATATGACACAATAACATGACATGATCATAATTTTAACATGAACAATCCTGCAAACTAAAATTAATTCGTCAACATGATGAAATCGGTGAATCCTTGTGTCCAGCACACACACAATATCAATAACTGTTACCCTAAACGTCAGCTCCTTCACGAATGGCATAATACATAAAGTTCATCATATCACTATGATTGAAACAAATTCGGCTGCTATGTTAAAGATCATTATTAGCTCATCGACAACTATTTACATTAACAATACACGAATCTTTCAGTAGTGGCTAACCTCCGCCGAGACACGAGTCGCAACGATCGCTCGTGCCCGAGGTTTTCCCACTCATTCGACTGATCGAGTATCAATATTGATTGCGAGTCGCCATAGTCAGGTTAACAGGATCCATTAACATTAATCCCCACCCCCAGATTAAGCCATAATCAAGCTCCAGCAAGCCATCCCACCACACTTACTCTATAACCTGAAATCCTAACTATGACAACGAAAATCAATATCGAATTCACGAAAAAACTTCGATCGCCGAATACCGCTTGAGCCGAATACGACGAACAGTTTTATCAGTACAAAACAAGACTTAATTTTAGTGTAACATGTGAATTACGTTCTTAACAATAGGCCCTAATATTAATTAAAATTAGTTTGCTTTTATAAGTTTTGTACTTACAAAACTATTCGTTGGGAGTCGAGGAGAGCACAGCACGCACTATCACAGCAGTCGGCGGGTCGCCGAGTACGGTGCCACTAACCTTATTTCTTTACACTCGGGTTCCGCAGAAACGAGGTCGGTGGCACTGGTAGCCCCACGTTGGGCGCCACTTATAATAAGGCCACAAAAAAATTTCACACGAAGCGATGCTCTCATGTCTTAATTAACACAACATCAATTTGCGCTTCGACAGACGTGTTTACCAATTAGTCTGAAACGCTAACGATTTACCGGACGCAAATGGGTGTGCTATCAGTTCTAATCACAACTGTTTCAATACTTTCTATTTTAATGGATGTTAGAATACTTAGATTGGGACACGTTAAATTCTAATTCCGAGGAAAGTTGGATATCATCAAAAGATCTATGAAGAGCACTAATACTATTAGCTAGTGTCAAATCTTTAGGAGTAAAGGGATTCGTCGAGTTATTAAATCGAGATCGAGTGTTAAGCGTTATCATTGCTGAAGCCTAAAGAGAAATTCCTAAGACGAAGAACTGGAGTTCCACTAAATAATCACTATGACTTAGGTATCAAGATAGTAGACTTACAGGTAGGTAGGGAAACATTAAGCATGCGACTCTAAAGACGCATTGGGTATCGAACTCGATAATAAGTAGGCGCGTGGAAAAAAACGCTCTACAAAACGTAATGTCACTTGCACTGTGCACATGCACTCTCTAAACGAATATTTCAAACGTTGTACTTCTTTACAATGATCACAACATATAAAACGGTGGATTCCCTCAATTGAATTTGAATCTTAAAACGATACATTTCAAAGTCGATTGGATTCGTCATAGAGTGCTGTTTTAACCACGCCCAGTTATTACCAAGCACGTGTTAAATGTCTAAACACATCCTATTGCAAAGGCCAAATACAGGACCCGTGAATTGTAACTCGTTAATACTTTAAGTGTAACTTTAAATTGACGAAATGTCTTTCAACCTCCAGATACGATACCTTATTTAATACAGGGTGCAGAGAAGAAAACTTATTAAAAAATCAAAGCCATCATCTCGAATTCGTTGTCACTATAAATTTATGCGTTTTATACAAATTTTTCTTCATTTATTACAGTATTCTTCTTGTTGTTGTTGACAATCTATTTCTCCCATCCTGTATTTAAATTACTCACGAGTCCTGCATTTCACCTACAACTATAAACTCCTGCTATTATTATACTTCTCCTGAAGTTACGGACGAAGCTAACTTATAATTTATTCTCTCATGCAATCAATTTTGTGCTTGTCTAAATTATATCACCAATGCTTTATAGGTGAAATTATAATATTATAAAATGTAACGCTAAATCTGTTGAAATAAATCATTAAGACCAACTAAAATATAACACAACACAACTACTGTATAGAAATAATAATAAATATGAAATAGATCAAAATATAATTCCTATAAAGCTTTTAAGACGACTAAATAATTTGTACTATAGAGAAAAATCACTGTCCAATCGAAATATCGAAGCGAAGTCACGGCGACTTCTCGAAAACTAACATCATAAAGATCAAGTATAACATCTAAATGAAGAGTTCTTTTGGGTTTAATTTTTTGTTGTTATCATGAATATTGATGTAAATAAACTTCATGAAACAAGCATTTAAACAGTACCCGCCAAAAATAGTATACTAACTATGAGTTCAACCTCATAAACACATTTTTCTTTTTAGATTACATGACGTGAAGAAGGAGAAAGATAGTTTCGAAATATCGAAACTCTTTTGGCCATTTCTATTTTAAATCAATGTTTTTATAAGCCAAATGTATTTTTTGTCGGATACTGAAGGGCAAGGAACATTATACCCGATTCCGAGCAAGCATAACTTTTTAAATTTTGAAATACATCATGTATAAATGTAAAGCCTGGAAGACATCGAATAGGTGGAATAATGCTCGGAAAGTAAAAAATAATTTACTCATACAAATAGTATGCGATATAATAAAGTAAATATACTCGTTATTTGACCGATATGTACCTATCATAGGGTATTTGAGTTATATATAAAAGAAATTGTAAGGTAAAAACTTCTCAACGGGTCCGTGCATTTAAAAATAAAATAATATAGTAAGACATTAGTAAAGCTATAATGCTTGTAATGTGTATTTGACATAAAAAACAAATACCCTAACACTATAATTAAACAATATCATATATTTTGTGATCCTTATAAAAGTGATGGGTTGGATCTTTCCAAAGGCTCCCGAAGGAGATCTAAATAAAATTATTTTTTCGCCCTTTACACACCAAACAAGGTATATCCTTTCTCAAGGGCTATTACAATATAAGTCACGCGTTATAATTGATTTTAATAATATACTCTGTTATAATCAGGCAAATGTAATAAGATATAATATTATAGCTATCCCGTATTATTTACTGCGATCGGGTATTACAATCGTTCTTATCCTACATAACCTTTAAAATCATTTAATAGACATCAGCATTATTAATTTGTTGTTTAAAGCAAATAACACGGAATGGCTCTATTTCAATATGACGTCGATCCCTTGTAAAAATTAAGACGAACGAATAACGAATTCGTCTTTTGTAAGACATAAAAATATCCTCTCACAGATTGGCTTAGACTGGTGTTGCTATATCAATAAATGTGAAGTGTTGCCTTGTGCACAGATTTCTATTTCATTCCCTCTTTTATTCGCAATACTTAATTATTATAATACTAGCCCCCTTATTCATAAAAAGTATATTAGTCTTATATCACCGTTTTAAATGTGTGATAATCACGAAACAATTTGACTGTCTTTTTTAGTAAATAAGGGGAGAAGTAATAAGGCCACCGGCCATATACAAGTATCAGGGTACATTTCCTTCGCTACCTGTCTGTGAGAGGCTTCGACCGGGGCCCCTAAATGAGGGGTTCCTTTGACCCCCCGGGGGAGGGGTCACCGTGTCAAGGCGTGGCCTCTTCAGCCAGCTCGGAGCCTTGAAGACCACCTCCACGCGACACTACAGAGACTGCTGATACGGTGAGTTCAAGGGGTTCTGGTACTACGCGGCCCACGCTGCATTCCATGTCGGTTCTGGAAAGGATAAAATAGTATTTTGAGCTATAAAGTAAACGAAATTATGCTCGATATGATTATAACCCAGAAGTAAAGCGAGCAGAAGTGGAAATGAGCTGTCCATATCTGCCATATTATTGAAACTGCTCTGCAAAAAGCAGTATATGACGACGTGATTTTGGTGAATTGACACACTCATCATCAAAGTAAATCAGCTTAAGCTCAAATTTTTGACAATGTGAAGTGACGACCACGCCGCCGTTATCAATCAACAGAAGTAATAGTGGTGGACATCCTTTGACTGAAATAATTATGATTAACTAGGTTGTTACAATAAATACTTACACTGCGCTGACAGTTGACAACTGCATTTTGGAGGTCTGCCACTGCTCACTGGCTTCAATCGAATCCAATTGGTCTTCCCCGGGCACATTAGCGCTCCCACTGGAAGCCGGCTCGCTGGTCGACACCGGTGAATCCAGGTTGATCAGAGTCGCCGTAGCCACCTCACCCACGCGACTCGCTTCGTCAGTGTTCGAACTGGTCGACTGACTTGTATCGACCGACTTTTGGATGTCTATAGAAAATAATACAGTATAGAAACATGAAAAATGTAAAAAGAAACATGCTAATTCCATTAGCAATCCAAATAACACACCCCCAACCGCCACCATTACCGAAACCACATACTACAATACTCATATTGAGCGATAAATCTACAAACCGATTATTCGTTGCCTGTTTTAAGATAGCTGGCACGTATGAAATTAACTTGACTAATGAGGTAAAGAAGCCCAAAATAGACAACTAGTTTTTTGTTGCATAAGATATAAGATATGTACTCTAATTATACCATCTTTTTATCAAGCTCTCGTGTTCGTTACAAATATTCATCCATGCCAGCTTGTTTAAAACAAACAATAGAAATCAAAAATCCACATAACATACATTATCTTCATCAAAATGTAATTATTTTTATTACCCAAACTACAATAGTACCGATTCACCCGACCGTCGTATCAGACCTATCAATAAAATTGTTAGTAGTGTTAGTACAGGGTTAATCACAGTGGTTAGTAAATTAAGTAGGTTAGTCGAGCAAGCGATGCAACGAAACGATAAGATGAGGTGAAGAGCTGACCTCTATTACTTTAGTTCTCGTACGTTGGAGTTACTCATTTAATTATTATAAATCAAATTGGCGACGAATGATATAAGGATGCAAATCGTGCGTACATCAGTCATGCGTACATACATCATTTAAAAAAAATCAGGGGAATTATCAGTTTAAAATTCAATTATTTTAAAAGTATAACTTTTTATTTATAATTGAAAGAAGTTCGCAGACAACGTGATGATTATTATTTTGTACATCCAACGTAAGAGTAGTATACAAACAATATACGCCAAATAAGTTGCGCGCGCGATGCTCACATATCTCAGTGATTACGTATTTTTTTATTAACATGTCATCAGATAAAGGAATTTTCAAAATGACATTTGGAAAGCAAGATTCTTTGTAACTGGCAATACCAACGTCAAAGTTGTTTTCTTTCTTGTAGTCAAATTGTCTACGTCACACTTATTTGGCGTATCGTAACAGAGGTGAGCAGGTGAAGACAAAAGGCAAAGACCTGGGGCATGCATGTAGGTCAGCCATTTCTTAACCGGCCGTTGCTCGCCCAACACGGCGAGCACGCTTCCGCGCATGGCATCTGCAACTGATCGCGCGCGCTTGTTAGACGCCGGCATATAAGGGTGGGAACGAAGTAAAATACAGCTTGATTCCTATTATGACAGCCAACTGGCTTGACGGTCTCTGAAATTAACTGCGCCGCCTGGCTTGGTGATCTAAGTGCCGGACAACAGTTCGAATCACACCGGGGGCATACATACATAGTGAAGAATACATAGTGTGAGGCACGAGTATTTTATGCTCGGACACATAAATGTAATCAATATTTATCAGGTGAAGAATGACTCTTGATGTTGCTGAGTCTATTTTGTACTTTGCTAATACAGTCGACATCACATCAGAATCTGCCGTGTTGAGCTTGATAGCACGTATCTTTCAAGTCCCACACATATCTTGGCATCACTGTCATAGAAATCAAGCCATATTTTACAGAGTAGCGGGTTCACATTAGACGGTCGCCAATTTAAACACTACACTATACATTGCAAAAAAAAATAATGTGTGAACCTACTGTAATACCCTTCGCAGACGGCGAAAAATGGTTAGAATTATTTGTTGGAAGTATAAATGTAAAGTTCGAATAACATTAAATAACTAAAAATTATGTTACAAATCTAGATAGTCCGCCGCCTGCGTTGGACAATAAAAGAAAAGGTGAAATGAAAAGAGCTACGATGATATATTTTACACATGTTGGAGAAATTTTTGTACAAACAAAAAAAGAAGAACATCCGCTGATTGACGTAGTCTTCTTTTAACACCATAGTATTAATGTAAAGAATTCATTAGGGTGTTGCCCTTGTGTCTGTGGGCCATAATATCTCAGATCTGGCCATAAACAAAATAAGAAAAAATAATGTCAAATCAGCGAATGCCAACTATTCACAGCGCCAAAAAGGGTATCAGCAAACAGCCTAAAAAGAGAAGAGATTACATATTTTCTATAGCCATTAGAAGCCACGACTGTACTTTGTTTTTTTATTGACTAAACTCAACTTAATCTATTCTATGATGTACCAAGAGCCTGGAAGTCGATTCCCATATGACCGTAGACCACGTGACTGGCAAAGAGAGGCAACAAACAGAAGCACATCTACACACTAATAGGTTGTGCGTACAACAAGCGTAACTTGCTAGTTTGTTTTTCGTATTTTTTTCACAAACTATATCAAGTAGGCAAGTAAAATAAAAAAAAATGGTTATGTTGTTTAAAATGTTAAGTGTAAGTATCGTCTCCACACTACATCTAAAATAAGAACCTAAAAATATACATAAGTATCTACTTTGTTGCAATCACGCTTTTTCACTTGACGACCAAATTGGCTAAAGTTATTTTAGGCCTGGTTTTCACCAATGCGGCGCGGTGTTCTGAATAACCAATCAGATTTCCTTCATTATTGGACAGTGAAATCTGATTGGTTATTCAAAACATTTCTCAGCTCCACCTTAGTGGAAACCGGGCCTAAAACAATCACATATTTTGTTAGCTACAGCCATACACCAAATTACTTCGTCATCAAGTGAAAAAGTGGACATTATTAAACTTATCAATACTGTACTTTGTGGCGTATTACGTGGGCGTGTATGTGTTATGTATGTTTCGACTTACCGGGCTTGTGGCGGTGATCGCAGCACGGCGGCTGCGCAATAGGCGCAGTGCGTGGGGGCCGCACTCGCACGCGGTAGAAACGCGAGCCACGCGGCATTCCGAAACGGTTGCCGCTCTGGACAACAAAAAGTACACAATTATTTGCTAAATACTAAGTATGAGACAAACATTACAAACTAAAAATTAGGTCATGACACCTGTCACCAAAAATTCACCGATATAAAAATAAATGGTTTAGCCTTGATCACACGTACCGAGTAAACGGGCGAGACAATAAAATGTTTACTCGGTGGAGACAATTGGATGAGCGAGTCACATACTCGAGCACTCGGCGTTAACTTCATTCACACCGAGTACTCGGCCGAGAGCACTGTCTCGCCCGTTTGCTCGGTACGTGTGATCAAGGCATCTGTCTGCTACAAATTATGCGGGTGTTGGGGCACGTCTGCTCCTATCGCTTCGTGACATAAGACTAAACGAGTGTGAGTGGAATGATTCTTCCACTACATACTTTATAGGCCGTTTCCAGGATTCGATCCTCGGGCGTCAGACTCAAATATAAGTCTAAAATCACAATGCAAACCAATATGTAGCTATTTTCATTTTACAGAGCCGTCAATGAGGGTTTTCGCGAATGAAAGATCCGCTAGATGGCGGGACGTGGATGTGGGGTCTGACTGCTGCGTGATTGGTGGATTTTGACATACCTGTCAATCATCATCATCATCATCATTTCAGCCACAGGACGTCCACTGCTGAACATAGGCCTCCCCCAATGACTTCCACATCGCACGGTTCTGTCAATCTGTCAATGTCATGTCAAAAATAACCAATCATGCAACATTTGGACCTCGCGTCTACGTATTGCCATCTGGCGGATTTTTCATTCGCGAAAACCCTCATTGATAGTAATCGCTTTGTTTGGATTGAAATGTAATAGCAATCTAAAAACCTTGCATGGCAAATGTCAGTACATATGTAAAAAAAAAGTTCAGGAGACTACTTACCTTCTTAGCATAACAGTACTCCTTAGAGTCGACTGTGGCGATAGCGTAAAGACGACGTTCGCTTTCGTTCTTCGCTTGTATACTGAGGTCTAGCGCGGGCAGGCAGTCGCTATGCACGAAGTACATTATTGGCGCTTCCTGTAACAAAAAATATATCAATTTATTGTCATCTTTGAACCTTGTTTAATTTGTTTAAATTCCAAAATAATAAACTATGAAATAAGAATATTTGATAAGTTGTATATGGCAAAAAATAATACTGCTTAAAAGAAACTACTTAGCTCGTCGTTTAGCTAATACCTTACGAAACATTAGCATAAAAAAAATCAAACAAAATTGTACTAGGACACGCGTGTGTCTCGATTTATACTAAGTGCCTTTTTAACATGAACGCACCTACATGTCATGGAAAATGGAATAAAATCAACATTTCGTATCACAAGATATTTCATGAAAATTCAATATTGTATTATTTCAAGTTTAGTTTTCTTGCCTGCAATACTGTGTAGTTAAGATGTGATGGATCCCATAGCACGAGAACTGTGTGCCCGGGCAGGCACGACGACAAGCTTAGCGTGCCCGCTGACAAGCCGTAGGGCGTGTGGCAGCGCGAGCGAGACCGCTTGCCTTCTTTCTCTTTTGGTGACGACCTGGAAACGGCAAAGGAGTTTGGACTTTATGTTCTAAAGGTTAAAGCTTGAAATGAGGGCTATCGTTTTAGCGCTCACCAGTTGGCGCCACTGTACTGTAGAGTAAGGTCCTGTCACTTGCTAGTCGCGAAGACAGTGGCGCCAACTTGTGAGCGCTAAAGTGGTAGGAGGACTATCGCATTTGCACTCATCAAGATGGCGCCACTGTAGAGTAAGGTCCTGTCAATCGCCAGGGGTGCCAACTGTTAAGTAAAAAAACGATAGCCCTCATTGTAGGCATTGCACTGGAGTTCAGTGTTGGAGTAATATAGCTAGATGGAAGACAGCAAAGGAGTTTGAACTTTACGTTGTAAATGTTAGAACTTGAATCTGTGGGTATATTCTGGGAGTGAAGGGCAGCAAAGGAGTTTGGACTATAAGTATTAAACATTAAAGCTTGAAATTATTGTCATTATAAGCAAAAGTTGATACAAACCTGCCATCGCTATCGTCATCCCTGCTCTTTTCAGCGTCGTCTGCTTTCTTCTCCAATTCCTTCTTCAGGTCCTGGACTTGTTGTTGCAACACTGCCTTTTCGTTCTCCAGTGTTGCAAACTAATAAAAACAAATTGATAGGATATAAATTATGAGTGTTGTACAAACATTCATCAGTTTTCAGTCTATTCATGACATTATAAACTAAAATCAACCGGTCAGAAAAGAAACACGATCAACAAGCAAAGAAAGCCTCTGACAAGCCTATCTAAGATGCGCGTCACGCGTCGTGATTAAATGTTATCGATAAAGCTTGTCGTGGCCCTAGGCTTACTGACAGAACATTATCAAATGTTTTTGGCAGCTCATTAACACTGACCCTAGGGTTGTGATTTCGCTAACATCATAGTGAAAGTGTAAGTGACCTGAGCGTCTCGAGCTGACGACTCCACTTGACAGTGTAACTGACCTGAGTCTTGAGCAGGGCGTCGTAGTCGTTGGTCTCGGGGTCGGTCAGCTGCTGTATAGTGTCGCGGTACTTGCTGCACTCCCGCGCTAACGCTTGCTCGCGGTCCCGAAGCGTCTCGAGCTGACGACTCCACTTGACAGTGTAACTGACCTGAGTCTTGAGCAGGGCGTCGTAGTCGTTGGTCTCGGGGTCGGTCAGCTGCTGTATAGTGTCGCGGTACTTGCTGCACTCCCGCGCTAACGCTTGCTCGCGGTCCCGAAGCGCATCAAGCTGACGATTCTTCTCAGCCAGCAGACGTCGTGTCACTTCATTTATCGTTGTCTGTGGGAATGGAGATAGGTTACAGTTACATACTATTTGCAAGGTTTGTACATGGTTTAATGTAGAAAAATTTTGTCCAATGACCCCAAGCTACCCATCCTTATCGCTCGCGCGTAATTATATTGCTGTCACGACTGTGCGACGGGCGGCAGCAGTGAGTGTGCGAGCGCGACAGCAATACAGTGTGAGTCACGTTAAAGTGTACATATGAAAATAGATGAAACTAGACCTATTTTTATCGACAAAAAAGAGGTCAAAAATTTTTTGAGATTTTTTTTTTATTTTTTATAGAATTTTTTTTCTTCCAATTACTTGTTGTAAAGAAAACGTAATAACTTTTAAATTAAGCGGTATATCCTGATAAAATAAAAACAGTAACAATGCTAAATAACAGGCAATACTAAAAAAATACATAAAATACACAAAAAAGGCCAACAAATAATAAAAAATGATACTTTTTGAAAAAAATCTGCTTTAAAATTCGTGTTTTTTTGGTTATTTGATAAACTTCTCCAAAAAATGCCCCTATAGCAGGTGGTTTTTATTACTTTGTATTATTCTCTATCGTATTATCTTTGTAAAACCAAAAATTGCATGTCTCTATCCCTATTACAACATTTGCTATGATCGTTTGAACAAAGGCCTGCCACAACATTTTTCTCCGCTACAGTTAGAGACAATTTTAATTTTAACTAAAATGCTTATTTTACTTTGAAATCTTTTGTTTTTATTTGAAATCTAACAATACGATAGAGAATAATACAAAGTAATAAAAACTACCGGTTATAGGGGCATTTTTTGGAGAAATTTATCAAATAACCAAAAAAACACGAATTTAAAAGCTGATTTTTTTCAAAAAGTTTAATTTTTTATTATTTGTTGGCCTTTTTTTATGGATTTTATGTATTTTTTTAGTATCGCCTGTTATTTAGCATTATTACTGTTTTTATTTTATCAGGATATACCGCTTAGTTTAAAAGTTATTACGTTTTCTTTACAATAAGTACCTAATTGGAAGAAATAAAATTCTATAAAAAAATAAAAAAAAATCTCAAAAATTTTTTGACCTCTTTTTTGTCGATAAAAATAGGTCTAGTTTCATCTATTTTCATATGTACACTTTAACGTGACTCACACTGTATAATTACGCGCGAGCGATAAGGATGGGTAGCTTTGGGTCATTGGATTACGTGCTCAGCGACCAAACTATAGTATATAAGTCAGTGCCCGAGTTATGAAAGCGTCACGGGAATGGTGATATTGACATATTATGGCGTGACAGAGCATACAAATCTGAAGCTTCTGAAGTCTCATAGACTTCTGACGTTTCAAAAACTCCCGTGTCGCTCCCATACTAAGGTACTCTATTGGCATAAAAAGTCTAACCTGCTTTTCAGTTTCTAGCTTAGCCTTGACCGAGGCGAGTTCGGCCTCCATCTTGGCCTTCCATTCGGCCTCGGCCTTCGTCACAGCATCCTTCACAGCCTCCTCTTTCTCCACCTCGGCGTTCTCTTTCGTCTGCATGACTATCGCGTTGTGGCTCGATATCTCGATGACGTCGGTTCGCTCGATCTTCTCTAAACTAGACTCGGATGGCGATCGGTCCATGTTTGTGAGTGCTACTAGACGGAACCTAGAAATGAAGTAGTTTGTTTTAGGATGAAGCTACACTAATATTTGTATTATAAGATAGGGTACATCATGCCGAAAAAATACTTGAAGAGAAACAGAGAATGAAAAACTGTATAGGAAATTCATTTAGCGGCCATAGTGCAGACTACATCACATCAAACTATCAATTTTTGTTGCCTATTATAACGGCATAAGAGACTTCAATGCATAGCTGTTTGTGTTGTTTTCATCTGTAGGTACAAGCTCAGTTTAGTTCGACATATTTGAGTAATATGATAGATACCATACAATTAATTACCTTGATCGCATTGATTCTATTTCAGCCTTATAATCCATGTGCATCTTCTCCTGCATCTCCTTTATATCTTTCTGTTTCTGAACCTCTATTTCTTCCAATTTCTTCTCGAATCCCGCTACTTCCTGTCGGGTTTTCTCTAACAAGTCTTTTGTACTTTGGTGTTCGTTGTTTAACTTTTCTATTTCTTTCTGGTGTTCTAATTTTAGATCTTCCATCTCTTTCTTTTGATTTTCTATTGCCTCGTCTTTTTGAGTGAGTGTTGCTTTCATATCGCTTAGTTCCAATTCGTGGTCTACAGTCAGCCTTTGTGTTTGTTCGCGATGACGAAGAGCAATTTCTTGATTGCTTTTCTCCCAAGCTTGAACTATTTCTAAGTACCAACTTTTAATAAAGTTCTTCTGTTCATCCGCGTCTGTTTTTAGTTTGGCTAATTCCTCCTTAATAAATACCATATTCGCTCTACATAATGTACACAGTTTTACAAGGAACTCCTGTAGTTTGTCTATATTAATTTTATGCGTGTCCATGTTGTCCTGAAAATAAACAAAAAATATATAGAGGCAAACCGTTATCGTCTCAAGGCAGAGTATACATATAAAGATTAAATTGTTATGGCATATAATACTGCGACAATAAGCTGAAGGATGAATGATATAAAATGAGACACGTAACAATACTGAAAAAATGGAAAATAAAATACAATGTTTCATAATCATGCGATAACAAAAACGCTAATACGCTACAGCTTATACGGGGCCGGTGAAACGGAGCAACAAAAACAATTCAACCGACTTTGATGTCATTCCCACGTTATACTATAGTATAATAGTCAGTGCTTGAGGTGTGGGCTGTGGCACGTTCTTAGGTATACGTCTTTTTACTCAGGTAGATTGAAAAGTCGGGAGTCACCAAATCTAAGAGCAAACATGTTCAAGGAAACATAATTTGCCCACAGAAAATCTTTAAACCGGGATTTGTATATCATGGGTAATGGGTATAAAACATAAACATTAGACAAGGTAACGAAGTCGGTTGAACGGTAACTACAATGCTTCCTCCTGAGAACACCTAATGTATCTATTCTGGGTTGTCAACAGCAAAGATTAATGTTATTGTATTTAAAGTAAAACTCGTCCACTTTAACATACTTATTAAAAGTACGTTACAAAACAGATCTGTAACGACCGATCTTAGCGCAAGCGCATTTAAGCACAAGATAATCGTTCTATTTTTTCAAATTCCCAGAAAGAATACAGGGTGTGACTAGAGCGGCAACATACAGGGTGCGTGTCGACCTGCCGTTCGTCCCGGCCCCACTCCAAGCTGGCGGGAAGCGACTCGTCGATGTAAAACTCAGAGCTCTCGAACTCCTCCGCGATTGCCGCGAGACGCGCTTCGGTCGGCGAGACCGCGACCGCCATCTTGTTTGGAAAGCATGCCACGTCTCACAAGTCACGAAATAAGAAGACGGATGTTATGACGATATTAGAATTGTTTTAAGCTGAAACTACTGTTGTGGAATACTGGAATGTATAGATAGAAATTAAACATAATCGTGAAAATTATCACTTTAGTTTGCTAGAAACTATGCCCGCGACGATTAATTGAAAAACAAGCCTAATTGATTCTGACAATTAAATTGAGAAGTTTTAAAAGAAATGTAGCAAAGTGAATTAGTTTAATGAATAAGATGTAGCGCATGTAACATGGTCTAAGATCGAAGTCGGTTGAAGACGGTTGAAAATATCACGGAAAATACGTACTTAGAGTATAATGTAAAAGACACACGTGTTGTATTATGTATTTTAAAGGTGTTTAATTATGTAGTACCTATGTATGTATTTGTAATTTAATCTATAGGTAAGTTTAGTGCAATATACTTGACACAGAAACTCGCGAGTATGTTCGAAGTTCGTTTTAAACAAAAGACGTCCACTGATGGCCAATGGAATCCCTTAAGAATCACTACAACGACCACTTAAACCTATACGCCCCGGGTCCAGGCGCTTCACCAGATCGTCAGTCCACCGAGCGGGTAAATCCTACCTGAAGTAAATACTACCTATGGTCAATAGTATCTAGGGTAAATACTACCTGCGGTAAATACTAGTAAGTAGTAAGTGTACGTACATCAGTAATCGTGGCCGCAGCAGCTGTCTCTATCTCGCAGCTGGTGGCGGTATCGTGACGCATCCTCTGCTGGGAAGACTGCCCACTCAGTCGCTCGAACTCGCCCGTCTCGGTTTCGTCTTCTACATCTCTGTTAAAAAATAGAGAAAACCAATGTACAGTCGCGGAATGAAAAGGTTCGTCAGTTTTCAAATTGATTCCTTCAACGAATCGCGAGCACCTTTTGAAACTATGTTACAGAATAATCTCGAGTTAGAGAAAATAATCTTTAACTGTTCGTCAGTAAAGTTCAAAATTATTCAGATCAAAGTCGATTTATCTTGTCAAGAAGATTATTATGATTGATAAACTAAATAAAACCTTCTTGTTGGTTCAACCTGCTATTGTTATTTCTATATAAAAAAAACTACATTTTGTAACATTGCACAGATGGAATAGAAAAATAAACAAGCAAAACCTTATTCGTTAGCAAACGTCATATTTATTTAAATGTTAGCAGCTCTGTTTCTTGCACTGTTATGTTGGCAGGTTTGACTCTTACAGTACCTAGTGCAAGCGAAAACCGACACTAAGGTGACGAACCTTTTCATTCTGCGACTGTACCTAGTTCGAATTTCTAAAATCCCATTATGTCGTAATGTCAAGATTGTTGGGATCAATCTTACTAATATTATAAATGCGAAAGTTTGAATGTCTGGATGGATGTTTGTTATTCTTTCACGCAAAAACTACCGGACGGATTTTGATGAAACTTTACAGTACTATTCTTTAAAACCCAGAATAACATATAGGCTATAATTTATGACGTTTTGTGACAAACAAAATTTCATGCGGATGAAGCCGCGGGAAAAAGCTAGTACTCAATACTTTATTGCTTAACGACAACAATTTTATTTTGTCACACAAGTATAGCTTTTTAAAGTAAGTGAAAACAAGATTGTGTTATCGTAGTAGCGCATAATATGCAGTTGTTTTTCACTAGACAAATTTAAGGGCACCTCTAGTGATTGATGGAATGGAATATTTGAATCATTTACGATATCCAAAAGATGCTAGGTCACAGAAATGCAGTAAACAAGTGATTGTACTTACTTATCAAGGTCCACTTGCACATAAGCTTCTTTTTCTTCATGCTCTGAAGCGTTTAACCTTGAAACAAAAAGCATTAGTTATACAACTGTTGAACAAAAAAGTAACAAAATAGAATCCATACCATTCTATCTACGCGAGCTACGGCATGATCAATTTTTTTCATTTTTTTTTCTTTTTGTATTCATTGTTTACAAAAGCTACTCTTCCAGTTCGCAATAATTCAAAAATTTACATTTTTATGTGTTATCTCCCAATGTCAAAACCAAAATCTATTTGGAAAGACTACAAACCTTTGCCTGAAGAATCTGACCACAGATTCCATGTCAGAAATAGGCACGTCCTTCGCCAGATTCGGGAAAGAGGTTGCGATATACTCCACGTCTTCGTCCGACAGTTTCGGAAGTCGCGCGTCGAATTCCGGAGGCACTTGGGTCGCGAAAATAGGCGGTAAATCCGTCATCCCAGGGAAGAGGCTTTTGAGGAAGTGTCCGTCGAAGAGGGAGTTGAACTCTTGACGACGAGTGACCTCCTCGTCGTGGATTTTTAAGAGCTTCGCTGCGAGGTCTGCTGCCCACTAGAAAAAAAGGATACAATAAATAAACTTAGGAAAAGATGCTATAAATAGAACTAGGGGACTTGAATACACATTAATGTAAAGTATCCACTGCAAAAACATGACCCTGTTTTATGTACTAGAGGCATGTAATTAATCTAAGATAAAATGTACGCGGGTGTATGGAGCACGTGCCGACTCTAGACGTCCGACGCAGGCATACTATTTTTCGATAAAGACACGCGTGTTTTAGCGGAGACCATCGTGGCGCATAACTTCTGATACATTTTTCGGTGGATCTAGGGTGGTCCTCCTCTCTCCTAATTGCCGTGCCCTAGAGGGCCCATAATGTTCTAATTTTAAGTACATAATGGATGCAATAAAATATTGGAAGTTGCATGTTTCGTAAAAAATAATGGTAATCTGTTTAGAAAACGACTTGAAGTCAATAATCGAAACCTAAGACATGCAGAAAAACTAGTCTTTAATAGTGCACCTAAACTGACATTCTATATGAAACAATGTAATGCTATGTGTGTAAAAATTTTCAATGCCATACCTGATGACTTAAAGATATTACCGAATAAATTGTTCAAACGTAAACTTATGATGTGGCTGCTTGAGAAAATACATGATTTAGAATGAATTATCATGAATAATATTAACTACTTATTTACCTCTCAGTGTCTTGGGGCAACTTAAAAAAGTACATTCTGTGTTTTTATTATTATTTAGGCAGCTAAATACTGCACAGTATTTAGTACACCATTTTCTTTATTTTCTTCCATTATACACAAGAATACTCGTGCGTGAGTCAATGTTCGCTCGTATGTGAGGCCTTGTCGAATAGTATCCTGTAGGTGGGCCATCGTGCGTGTTTTGTTTTCGATGTAAACTCGCGGAGATGAACAGGCCTGATAATACTAAAGACGAAACGTACCAATATATGCGCCTCCGAGAACGTCCGCCTCCTAGCGACTTCGTGCACAGCGCGTACGAACACCGCGGGCGCTTGATGCAACTGCGCCACGATGCCGAAGTACCGCTCCAGGCGGTTGAAGCACTGGAACGAGAGCATCGCGTGCGCGTCCTGCACCGACATCGAGTTCTCGATCTTCAGCACCGCCCTGTGGATAAAGAGAGATACATCGATGACAATTTTATTTACACAACTGACCGCGCACATCACTATTCGTAGAGGGCACGGGAAGAGATCATGTGCTTCACCGCCATGACACTATAATATTTTTGGGACTTTGTGCGTGGCGTTTTTGTGTGCACGTGTTATAAATAAACAATAGAAATTCGTTTTTTACGTTTCGTCTCCACTCAACTTTAGTAGAAACGGTTGAGCAGAGCAGAGAAGCGAGACGGAAGGAAGAGGGAACGAGTGGACCTTGTTTTAAATTAATAATGCCCAAATTTATTAGTCCAACTCGCAAGAAAGCAAAGCAGTTTAATGAAATAATACACAAAATATAGACTAAAGATTTTCCCTAAATTATTGCAGAAAAAACATCTACATTGTAGCCGATAAAAAGAAATTACTCACTCTAATCTCGCCCGCAAAACTTGCGAGAGCTCCTCCTTCGACTTGGCGATGCGCCGCCGTCGGTCTACCAGCGTCTGGTGGCCCTTCAGAAGCTTCTCAAGTTGGCAGATGTGGGACTGCACTAATGTTGGCAGCACTGACGGGTCCAACGCCGAGTTTAGGCGGTCGCGGTACTGTTGACCAAAGAATAAATAATAAATAAATATTTTTAGATAATTTCCTACAATCCCATACCAAGCAAACCTTTTTTTTTATGTGATAGGAGGCAAACGAGCAGACGGATCACCTGATGGTATTTACGACTATTGAAAGAATTAGAAGTAACGATGACATGCATAATGAAATTAAGAACTAGGTAGCTTCCTTATTTACAAGAGTATTATCTGAAACTAGAGTAAATATTAGTGCATTACAATATTCAAGGATAAACAAGACAGAAGAATGAAAGGTTACGTGCAGGTGAGGTGAATTTTGCTAAGATTTATAAATAGTTGACTATTAATATGTAGCATTCATCAACTTATAAACTCAATAATATCAAGATTTCAAGCCTCAAAATGTCAGAACAGAACCCTTACCTTAATCAACTCTTGCGAATTCATTCGAGAGTACCTTTTCACTGGCAGAGCTTTGGTCACGTTCGTCTAAGATATCGAATATGAAATGTACAGCAAATGATAAATAAAAAGGAAATGAAAAATAATGCTTTACTCCCCTGTAGTAGGTATGTATGACTTTTATAAAACTTGTAAATGCTCCGTGAGCACTGTGAAATCTAAAGAATACATTTTACATACCACAGGAAAGTATGCACTATGCATGTTTTAGTAGGTTAAAAGATTTGACATTTTTTAAGGTAAGTCTAAAGCAGATTACTGAACTGATTCACAAATCGTCACACACTCATCCATTATAATTGTTATCCTACATTATCCTTCTTTTTATCAGTCAGGACCTTTTCTATACTTATTAGTACTTTTCTGCTAAAATATTTAAAAACTTCACATCTAAATCTAGTTGGCAACTCTTAAGATCCTTTTACTCGTATTTGTGAGATGCTATGAATAAACGTCAGTCAATAAATAAGAAATTAGACCATTAGTAAAGCGTCAAGTAACGTAAGCATAGATGGTGGTGTAAATAAAGCAGAATGAGACAAACTACGAAAGAGTTAAATTAGGATATTATGAAAGAAGCAATTCAAAATTAAATAGTCAAACGAAGTTGTATTGTAACACAATCAAAACACAAATTGCTATGTTACCATTACGTTTTAGTTATTATGATACTTCATCGTGATTGCAATAATGCATAAGTCTGTTTTAAAAAACAATGCTCAAAACTTGATTCAATCTCAGTCAGACATTTCTATGTCTATAATATAGAATCTTCTATGCCTCAATTTTGGTCTGAATATGGAAGTTCAACCAATGAAAAGTCTCAAATTGAATGTGGGATTGAGCTTCATTTTATAATACAGCCCATACGATCATACTTCATCATCAAAGATACACTTCATACCTGTATCAAAGAAGCGGCCTGGTCGTGTTGATCTCGCTCCAATTTCTTGACCTCGCTGAGGATCTGGTCAAGACCGAACAATCGGTCCTCGATGCCCCGAATCTGTTTGAGACCGTGGTCATTCGCGTACTGAAGGATGTGGCACAACTGGTCTTCGTGTTCCTTTAGTGGTTCTACGTCGATCTGGAATGATTTTAAAAGATTTAAATGAAATCAGATAATACATAAATACTACATATTTGCACCATTAAGGTACAAAGCAAATTATTTCTTCCCTATGTGGGCCAGTTGGGGCCAAATGGGTATAACTGATAGTACTGATACACATCTGACTGAATAAAATAGACACATTTATCAACGTTTACACATAAACATTGTCATACTACATCATATACTAATTTAATTTCTCCCCAACGGGAATGGAATCCATAGAATTTATGACTTTATCTATGGCATACATGGAGTTGTTTTAATCCGAAATGCGTATCATGAACGTAACAATATTTTAGCTACGCATAAAAATGTACGCACTAACCATAGGTACGTTAAATGGAAAGTACTAAAACACAATCGATGCAGAGCGAATTTAACCTTATAACACAGTTTGATAACTATTTATGCCTTTTCTGATAACGTGGATTGTTTATACTCGGGTGTACTCAGATTTACCAGGGTAATTCCCTTCTGGCAATAATCCAGGATATTCTATAAGGATACTTTATTCCCCTGGGCAAGTATCCATAGCTTGTGAAGACAATTACCAGGGCAAGTCCCTTCTGGAAGTACTTCAGGATATCCTGTAGGAATGCCGTGTTCCCCTTACACTTACCATATCCAGTCCTTTCTGGTACTAGTTCAGGATATCCTGTAGAGATGTCTTGTTCCCCTGTGTTGTTGCTGTATCTAGTGAAGTAGCGCATGAGTACACTTGGTCGAAAGACACAAGCGCAAAAATACAAGTGCGAAAGGCCATTTGCGCGCATGGACACTTGCGCGAAAAGACATTAGAACGAAGGACGTTTTTAGACTTACCAGGGCCAGTCCTTTCTGGCAGTAGTCCAGGATATCCTGTAAGGAAGCCTTGTTTCCCTGGGCCAGTATCCAGTGGAGTAGCGTAGGGTCGTCTTTCTCGTACAGATGGGCTTGGAAGGTGACGCCTTCGTCCGACTCTTCGATTTGCTGCTCAGACTCTGAAGAGTGCACGACGTCTTTACATGACGATGCATCTTTGTTTTCGAATACTGTAGACAAATTATTTAGACATTAATACAACAATCCATATATTATTAACCCGTTATTAACATACGTTTTACAACATTTGGCATCAAAATATAGAAAAAAGAAATGTGTATAGAATACTGATTCAAATCACAAGCATATTGTAAGATGATGTGACAGATTAGATGCTGTCCTTGAGATCACCCTTACTCCTTGCGAAATAAGATCGATTTTCGCTGTGACGCAGTGACCAGTAAGTTTAATATCCTAAATATTCAAACCCACAATGGACGCGAAATAAACAAATGCGTAGATATGGGCTAAAAAAGTTACGCGCTACCAACGTAAACAAATACTTTTAGATGTTAAATTCTTGTTTTTATAACTCCAAAAAGACAATACCTGTTTTCGTTTTACTAATACAAACAGAAGTTTGCGTACCTCTTATTTTTGTCCTAGCACTGAGTAAGACATATTAATAAACGAGATTACGTCATAGGATGCACATATTATTGAATAGCCAATTTATTTTGAATCTGTCCATGCTAAAATTCTGAACAGAATGAAATTTCGAAAAGACGAAAAAATTTTATTTATTGTGATTTAAACAAGACCTTGTACGGTTCTCAGCTAAAACGTGAACAAATTCGGTGCGAAAATGGGAAAAGTCCGCGTATTACACAAATATTGTAAATACACTTCGCAGCAATGTAAATATAATACCAAAGATAGTACTTTACAGTTATCATCATCATCATTTCAGCCGTAGGACGTCCACTGCATCTCGCGCTTTCCTACTTTATACAGATAAGTAATATAATTATTACCTTCTTCCTCAGACAACTTCAGGGCTTCCACGCCAAAGTCCTGGCAGGTTTTGGTCTCCGAACTGTTGTCCAGGGGATGGCTGACTCGGTATGGGTGACCCTCAAAGTCTGTCTCTTCGAACACGTCAAACGCCGAGAACCTGTGCGCTTCAGCGTTCAACTGTAGTGCGGGTAGTATGGGAATCTTGCCTAGCGATTCTAACACTTCGTTGAGCCTAAAAAGTAAGAGGTAAATTGAAATAAGCAACGAAATTAAAAGGGACAGTAAATGCTTACAGTTAAGGCATTGTACTGCTGATTCGAGAGGAAGTGAGGTCGTCGACCGCTGGAATATTGTGGTGAACCCACCCTTAACCTATCACTATAAACATAATAATTGGCTAACCTGGAGGAGTTATACCACAAATTACTAGTAATCTTTAAAACAATACATTTACACATACGGAAAATAATACATTCAACTGAACTTCAAGTCCTTGATATTTGTTTTATTTACATACATTCAGCTGCAAACTATAACATCAGCTGGCATTTATTATTGATTCTATAATGCTTATCGCATTTGGCTTAATAATGTTAATATTTGTTAACGATCACGTTTGTTGTGTCGAGAAACTCAAACTTATGTGACATTACATAATTACTATCAGTTTCCAATAAATGTAATAGATATGTATTGTTTATTTACAATCATGACTTCATTTGATTTATCTTAGTTTGAGTCGAGTATTCTTGATAGTTATTTACAAAAGGTGAGAAAGTTAATCTGTTTTTAAAATTAGCTTTAATTTAAAAACAAACAATATTGAGTAAATAAGTACAGCAAATACGTCACGCTACACTTGCATTTAAATAACAATAACAGCGTGTTGAATACTCATTACTACATAGAAAGATACGGTGAATAATGATTTGAGATGACCGCTATATTAATAGTTATATTCACTCAACCGTCACCCGTTTGTACTAAAAATAGAAATCACGGTAGCGATACATTAGCACTTTGAATTCATAGCGGAAACAGAAAGCGTCGGATACGTCCAACTTTTCATAGCAACACCGCATAAATAGATGCGCTATTTTTAAAACCAGTTTTGTAATGCATAGACCAATGCATGGGCAGCCCCAAAAACGTTGAAACGGGCATTTCTTACTTATAATATTGTTTGTTACCTCACCCTATTTGGCTCAATACCAATACTTCCCCGTATGTAAGGTCGGTAGGTCAAGATTACTAGAGCAAATAGCGTTTGTACTACATAATAAACGGAATCTATCAAACAACCATTAAATTACGATTACGCTAACTTGTCTTTGTTGTACATTTTTATATTGTACGATATAATTTTATTCGTATTGAACTACATTAGATTCTTAGTCAAGGTTGCGAAAATTTCCGCAAGTTACCATGTATGGCGTACGGACGGCGGCTAGAAAAACTACAGTTACTAACGTAGCATTTTACGCATCTTAGCTTGTACTACCGGAAGGTCAAGCGCTAATGACCCAATTTAGTTAATAGACCGAAATCTACATAATAAATTAACTATTGCTACTTTTGTACTTTGTACAACTATTGTAATGTAATGTGAATACTGTTTTGCTTTGGTGAGATTTTAAACTATGTGAAACTATGTGTATTTTTATGAAACAGTCTCCAATTGCTCTAAATATGAAGCAATACCAACGGTACCGAACTCATAGTTATAATTTATTAATCATACATAACATTAAACTATAAGTGTGTGTAACTTACGCATTCAATTTCTCGTGATACTCGTCCTTTTTTAGCCGGTGTTTTCTGAATGACTCCTTGAAATTTCTAGACCTCTCGCAGAACTCATTGAATATGTCTTCTAAATTGGCCACAACAGCTGCCCAACCCTGTGGAATAAAACGTCATATAACCAAGTTACTTTCATACATCGATGCATAATACGTCAGTATAGTCCTGCAGCTTAGTGGTTCGAAGACAAAATTATCTTTGATGGTTTTCAATTATTGACACAAGTGTCATCCACCCACAAGGTTGACTGAAGAGTTCATAAAGGTAACAGGAAGGCGCTGGATGCAGGTCGCTACCAACCGCGCGATATGGAAATTATTGGGGGAGGCCTATGGTCAGCAATGGACATCCTGGCGATTTGCACGCGTTGGTTTGGTTGAAGCGTTACACGTGCGCAGAGACCGCACAAAGAGGACATAATCGAATAACGAGCAGGGTTAACGAATCCTACATCAGTAATATGGGTCGCATATCGCACGCGTGCAATTAAACAGACGTGCACGGACTTTTGGCGTGATCCGATTCCCCAATAAAAGCTATCTTATCTAAGGCTAAGCGTACGCTACCTTGAGCATCAACTGGATGCGCGTTTGATTCATCAATAATCATAGAGCCATCTGCATATCTAGACAATAGCCAAAGGCAGCCGATTGGTATAGCAGAATTAGTATGTACGGAACCCTGTGGCTTCTTATATTAGGTGTTCTAGACGCTACTTTGCAACTAAATTATCTGATGTGCCGTCGACTGTACTTAGATGCTTTTGATTAAATACAAGATCAAAATAAAACGCGTTGAAATCACAAAATTAAGGGTCCTGTATTTTTGTCAAATTTTTCTATTAAGATAGAGCATTCAAACTCAAACGTGTACATTCATACAACAAGAAAACATCTATGAATTCTTAATTAACAAGGATTACAAAATTTGTTTTTGCGGTGTTATGACGGTAGTACCAAGAGCTTGAAAATAAATTTCATTATTAATGCAGTGTGGCACAACTGGCAACCTTCTAGCACTACTGATTTAGATTTTTCTGATGAAAGAAAGCTAAATCACAGTTTTATAAGCTACTTTTATCTCAGCTTTAGTGACAGTTCTTTAATTCAGAAATAGTAAAGCAAGCACGCAGTTGTGCACGCTATGTTTCCGTGACAACAACCGAATCTATGCGGGCATTTAAAATAAAATAATCAACAAGAATAGTTTTATTACGATGAGAGATAACATTAAGATGCACACGCATCAATCTGTAAATAACGCTGATTGAAATAATTCAAAAAAAAGATGTAATCGCGAGACACGATTATAAATTCGAGCATTTTAATCAGTTTGGTAATCCGTCAGCAAAGCGACCTTGAAGGAATAGTGCTCGGTCTGCCTTTTGTCTGGCCGAGATATAATTTAAAAAGAAGTAATTGAATGTAATAAAATATGTATTTTTGTCAGATAAAAACCTGGATATAAATGGTCAAATGAGTAATGGATTATATCGACGAAGTTTAAAATAGAAAAGACATCTCAAGTCATCAAAGATAATAAATACTGTTTGTTGAAAACCAATAAATACCTACGATTGATAAACATTTATTTATAGAATTTCGTACAATAGCTAACACGTATCTATACGGAAGTAAAGTATTGTTGTAAATGTAAATAATTAATTGATAAAACTTCTGTGAAAGGCGATTAGATTGGTCTGTCCAATTTGAACCCAAAAAAGGTTAACAGAGCAAGACCATTTTGTGTCACACAAAACCTGTAATTTTATTTATTGATCTCTTTAAAGAGCTATAATACAGTTAATTCTGTCCAGTGCAAACTTATCAATCAGTTCAATAATTAATAGGTTCATCATGTACAGTCGTCAGATACATTTTTGTTGCAAAACAGCCTGTATTGCGACTAGATAAGCCACTGAGTTAGCTTGATGTGCCTCCGCACGCTAATATCGTATCAACTGGCCAAATAAATGTTCGTCTCGGCGCGCACGAGCGTATCACTCGCCATGCGCATGGGCAACTTTTAGTTGTACCTAACTTAGACTTGTTCGAAACAGACAATGAATTTTGAATTTTTACATATCACTCAGGTTTTATCATCATAGGTATTTATTAGTACGTAAATAATATAATATTATGACATTGCTACTTCCGTAATAGCGTTCGTAATTTACAATTCGCACAATTACAACCAGTTAATCCACAAAGCGTTTATAAATGACAAATTAATGTGTATCGCCTTAAAAACTCATCAACACAAAAACATTATTACCTGGAGAACTTTCACTTTATTGCATCAACCAAATTAAGTGCTGATTACATTGTGATAAAATATTTATTCGTTTGAATATTGAGATGTTGCCTTGGTATCTATCAGGTATCAAATGCTTATTTAATGTTTGTAATACATCTATTTACAAATACCAAAGTGAATGAAAATGTCTGGATATTTGTTGCTCCTTCATGCAAAAAGTACTGGACGAATTTTGATAAAACTTTACAATGCCACAGCTTATACATCAGAATAGCATATAAGCTAACTAAAATGTTATAAATTAACTTATGGTATTACATTCTCGCATTTAAGACAGTGTGTTTTACCTTTATGCAATACAATTTTAATAAGGCCTTTATGAGCCACCCTAGACTACATTTACACTTAACGTCATGTGTGATTACGGTAAAATACGTTATCTGCCATTTACAGTATAAGAAACCCTATAAAAAATAATATCATACCTGATGCTGCAAATGCTGTTCATGGACCAGCTGCTCACAGCTTCTGGAGACTTCATGTGCCAAGTCGCTGAACTGTTCCGCAAGTTGAGTGCACGCCATCACCGTGTGGACAGTTGGGCCCTTGGAGCGGCAGTTCTCCACGAGAGACGCCAGGTCTGCGATGGACTTGCCCTCGTATGTAGTGCGCCCGTCGCCACGGAACTCCGGCTCTAACTCTGGTATCGGGCTTAAGTCGCTGCATACTAAAAATTATAGGGATATTTAGTTTTGCCTATCCTATTTTGAGTTGTACTACAGTTATAGTAGCAAACAGTAGCAAATACCAATTTCAATTTTATTAATCCACCTGAATTTAAGTCACTTGAGAGACAGACTCTGTATGACAAATAAAAGATGTGCTTTGCAACAGCAAAGTAAAGAACAAACAAGTATTATGAGCTTCATACTTACTTGACTGTTTAATGTGACTTTCCTTGACTGAAGGCTTGCTAAACATGTAGATAGGATTGGTGTCAGTGCCAGCACTGTACGAAGACACCATGTGGTCTGACTGCAAGACCTCACCCCCACTCACTAGCAAAACCAATAAGTTTGCTGGAATCTTGGTTCTCTTTTCTATTGCAGCTTTCAGACTGGCCACGCTACAAATAAATAAAAAGTGTTCTATTTTAATAATGTGTTAGAACTTAGAAGACTTGGCTTAGTTATTCAAACTATTTTTAACTTTTACTAATAAAAACTTACACCCATTGAATACTGTTTTAAAAGGACATTTCCATACTAAACGTCAAACACTATTCGACAAATAAATACAATTATAAACTTGAAACTTTAAGCACTATAAGATCAGAATATCAACACACTATATGAATACATATTTTTAAGTACCTATGTAAAAGCATACAATTTATACACCACCTACCTCTGTAGTGTGAGATTCATATCATACATGGTCATCTGACCAGCGTCCACGTGGAAAATGTACAACATTGTGGCGGTTTTCCCTTTCAGTGTTGCATATAAAACTAGTGAAGCAGTTCTTCGCTACCGCTTATGTCTAAAAGTATACTCCATGGAGTCTACAACAAAAACTATTATTGAACAAAATGATAATAAGGATTCAGTGCCAGTAGTACAAAAGTACATACATTCAAGTAATTTTTTGGCATGAAAATAACTTTTCGTAAGAAACTAAGATCATTAACATACAATATTAACAGCAAAATCTTGATATTTACTGTGGTACCTAGTGTGTGGTATTTTTGCCATATTTTTTCAGAATCTATCAAAAATAATTTTGGGGAAATTGACGTTTTCAACAAATTATGATATATTTACTAACCAAATCTTAGGTCCTTAGTGACTTACAGTACAGGCTTCTAATATTTATTAATTGAAGACAACACTATAATCATCAGAGAATTCATATTAAAAATGCTGAGTCACGAAATAATTGAATAACAATGCAAAATCTCGACATAAAAATAAATCACACGCAAAAAACACTTCAAACAGTTTTGCGTTAATTAAGTAATTTGATATTTACAAACATTCGATAATTTTAAATTACCATAAATAAATAATAAACTAATCATTTACTTAAACTATAAGTAATATCAAAGTTAAACCAAAAATAATACCACATTCAATCATCAAAGTGTAACGTGTTGTTTTTTGCGTTTGAAGACATTTCAACAACAAAGATTTAACACTTACAAAAACATACGCTGAAAATCACACTAGGCCTCTGCAGGCCATCACAGTTTGTTGCATAACATCAAATTCGAAGCGTGATGTTTCATTTAGCAATATAATTCAGTAGATTTTGAAGAAAAACAACACAATAATTAATGCACTGATTTTGTATCAAACCCTTGAGGTCATAATACCACCATTGCTCGATAATCAACTCACTCAGCTGACATTTGTGGGGTTACCAGCTCATAATTTTTTTTGTACAAATTTTGCCTCATTATTTGATGAATTTGGTGTTAAGATTTATTTGAAAGAAAGAGAGAAAGAAAGAAAAATTGTTTATTTGGTTCAAACATAGTAACTTTACACAATTTGGATAGTAATTATAAGTAAATTGTTGAACCAAAATGGCTCCTACTCAGCTTGTATCATATTCCGTAAAGAACATGATGCTGGTATTTATTTTATTTAGTTATTTGGGAAATCAACGGATACACATTACTGGACATAATTTACATTATTAATTTATAAAACTTACAGATTTTCACAGAAATACAACAAAAAATTTAAGAGGTAGTTTTTGCAATTTTTTTTTATTTCTTGTCATTTTACCAATTATTAACAAAAAATCATTGTAACAAAAAATATTTCTATAATAAAATTTAAGAATGGATTTGAACTTGGAACTAAATTGCTTATAAAACAAAATCTTACTAATAATATTATAAATGCGAAACTTTGAAATGTCTGAATGGATGTTCGTTACTCTTTCACGCAAAAAGTACTGAACGGATTTTGATGAAACTTTACAGTATCATTATTTATAACCCAGAATAACATAAAATATACGTTATAATTTATTTATGACGATCTGTGACAAACTAAATTTCACGCTGCTGAAGCCGCGGGCAAAAGCTAGTAATCTTATACATATTTAAAAAACGTGGTGCTTAAAACTTATTGCTTTGGTGGTGTCTATTACACAATCCTTCGGGTTCTAATTTGAGATTTTTAACTTGAGCGTGCTGTTACTTAAGTATGAACATAAGCCTATTTGATTTTCTGAATTAAGAATTGAAATCAACTTTGCAATTTTGCTTGAGTCGAAAAAACGCCATCGAGCGAATTCTTTTTAATATTGACACTCTGTTTTGCCAATAAAATTATCTAGGGCAGTAGCAGCAGTAATGTACCTACCTGTAGTTATCTGTGGGTACCTTGCTGAATTAATCACTGATTTATGGTGATGGGCCGACTATGGTCTTTGCCGACAGTTATCTGTGGGTACCTTGCTGAATTAATCACTGATGATTTATTTTTACTAGCTTTATATTTTTTTGGATGGGGTCGACATTTTTATACTTTGTACACACACACTTATTTTTTAAGGATGACAACACTTCTTTACTTCTTTTTATTTTCCGTTTGTTGACAGGGTAGCTGCTTTTTTGCCACAATTAAAATGAAAAATGATTTTATTATACTCCACTGCCCCCCTAGACAAAACGCACTTTTTGATCGAATCGAAAATCGAATCCGTCAAATTCCATACAAAAAAGGGGCTTTTCGACCACTTTTCGACTGGTTTGCGATTATAATTTACACTTTGTCTAGACCCACTGCATTTCTTTTTCATCTTAATCAATCTAAAATCTAAATACCTACATAAAAATATTTAAAGAATTTTTTTAATCTTTTAATAAAAAAAGAATTCGCTCGACCGTCGACGACTAATGCCATAGTCGACATCAACTTGCTCGTCAGGGAAAGTAAGAGAGATAGGTAGGTAGGTACCTACTTATCTACTACCCTCGCCTCACACCTCATCTGTGCCTCACATGGAACGGGCAAACTTACTTTCAAAAATGATTTATAACGAATTGCCTACATGATAACGAACCGGGACGATTACGCTTCGCACAGTGCGAATCGCACCAGTGCTTAGGCACGGTGCTTAGGCACATAATAAACCTTCCTCTTGTTGATTCACTCTATCTATTGCTGAAAATGGCATTAAAATTCGTTCCGTAATAAATAGGAGTGGGTTCACCATATTATGTAGGTATATACCTACTTAGTCGTAACGGCCGGCCGCGACGCGGCGGTATTCGAACCCGCGTTCCTCGTATCATGAATCGGCCAGTCCGAGGCCTTGTCGCTAATTTTCATAGTTTTCCCTTCGTTCATTCCCTTTGTTCCCGTTGAGTCACACCCCACCATTTTGTGTAACACTGTTAGTGTTACCCATTGGTAAAAAAATTACCGCAAAAACTTCTAAGGCAATCGACAACTATGTACCTTTGTGATTGGCCTAATAGTAGTACTTAAGTAGTAAGTCAATCGTCATTTACTTTCACTCATATTAATAAATATCAGCACTTAGTTAAGTGGTTAGAGCAGTTATTAATTTTTTTAGCGATAATAGGTTCTGGCATCTCTAATGAAATACGTCATAGCAATTAGATGTTTTTCCAGTTGCTCAAGTTCTAATAAAATAAAAGTTAGGGCAGGTGTCCCAAGCGATCATGCATGGTCATACGTCCAAGTCTTACCCGAGGCAGTCGATCTTTTCAAGTTTTAATTACAGTTTATTTTTAGTCTTCTAGATCACAAAAATAACACTGCAATTATCTGAATCACGTGATATTGTTAACAACCAAACGGTGGCGGCTGCGTGTTTGACCTCCACCTGGGTCACGTTACTGAAAGTGGAGACATTTATCTTACTTAGGGGCAGCACAGTCAGTGTGATTCGCAGACTACCACAATAGTTTTGACGTAATAAGTACTAATTTTATCATTCAACGTAATATGTCAACATGGGTAAAAAAAAGACAAATTATGCATAAGCACTTCATACCGCGCCCGTACGAAAACATGCCTTTGATTCAAAAACAATACCAACTTAACAAAGCCCTCCTTAAAATGCAATGTCACCTTACCTTATCAATTATTTATCTTAATTAAGTAGGTACTAGTAGGTAGGTAAAACGAGTAGAACTTAGGTGAAATAAGTAGCTATGTACCTACTTGTGTTGAGTGGGTCGACGGACGTCGTAGTAACCATGTAAAATTGATGTTAGTTTATCTGTAGGTACATGATGAATTTCATGTTATCACATCATGCGGCAAACAGGGTAGATTAATTAGGTAGGTAGATCAGAAAAAAATAACGTAAGAAGTGGGTAGGTACCAAAAAATTAAATAAGAACGATAAATAATCGCAATGTTTTTTTATTAATTTTTTGCATCAATAGGTACAGTACAGTGAGTACTATTAAAGTATAAAAGTAGATATTTATTACTGTTACTGTTGTACAGCTTACAAAAGTAGTTGTACCTAAAAATATTAAAGTACAAATTGTCAATTCTTAAAAGTAGGACTTATCTCTAAAAGCAATATAATATCCACTTAAAACTTATCTAAAGATTCATCATCCACAGATATGCAAATTCATGTTATTAGATGTAATAAATGTTAAGTCATTATAACTTAGAAGGAGTTAAAAAATTGTTTGAGTACTTTTAGATACACACTATTAACAGTATTATTTATTGTTTATACATAGTTATATTTTGTATTTGATAATAATTTGAAAAACTGTTTCTATGTAGTTAATCCTAACTAAAATTATAGCCATTTCTATTTTTGAGTTCAGATAAAATTAACAAAATATTCAATTTAAATAAATTGGCCTTTTTCAAAGAACCACAAAATTACAATAATTTACTTTATAAGAACAATACTAAAACTTTTCTTACTAAAATTCAATACAATGGAAGTTGATTATATCACAGATTTTTGTTCAACAATGAGGAATAACTATTATATTAATTCTACTTGGATAAGGCACTTGCCACAACCTTATGTAACATTATAAACATGTCAACTTATAAATATAACAGTGTGTAGACATTTATACAAATTATGCAGCTCTTGTGTGACCTTACAATGACCTTATTGTTCTATTATAACCTCAGAACATAAATACGTAAGTTTTCACAAAATTGGAATGATAACATTATTAAATGCATATTATGCTTTCACCGCAATAAAAATATCACCAAAAGTAGTAGGAAGCCATCACCCAGGAGATATAAATAATGAATATAGCATATAGCATTAAGGAAGAGCAGGTTTGACCCATTTGTAGGAACCTGAGTACTTGAAATCATATCCTTTCAATTTGCTGTCTGCTTCTTGAGGACCCCGAGATCCAAACACGTAAGGAATAGGTTTCACTTGGTTCTCTTCCAATTCTTTTAAGATAGGTGTGAATATACGCCAAGCTTCAGTCAACTCATCATTGCGTACGAAATGCATTTGACTGCCCATGAAGACATCTAAAATTAATCTTTCATATGCATCAGGCACATTCGCTTCTCTATAACGCAAGCTATAAGTTAAATCCAGTTCAGCTTCCACAAGATCGAAATTCATTCCTGGAGATTTGGACATCAATTTTACGTACACTGCTTCACCTGGTTGTACTCTTAGTACCAACTCATTCCTCTTTGCATGCCCGTCAAATATATCTCCCGGCACATCTTTATACTGCACTCTTACTTCTGCTTTTCTCTCGTTAAGTGCCTTACCACATCGTAAGATAAATGGCACACCTTGCCACCTGGAATTATTAATCCACAATGCTGCCAAAGCATAAGTTGGTGTCACTGAACCATCAGGAACAGTGGGGTCATCCAAATAACCTAACTTCTCATCACCTTGTCCATCAGGGTTACCAACATACTGGCCTATCAATATGTCTTCTTTACGTATAGGACGAATGTGTCTCAATACTTTCACTTTTTCATCTCTAATGTCATTTGGATTCAATGACACTGGTTTCTCCATAGCAACAAGAGATAGGATTTGAAGAAGGTGGTTTTGCATAACATCTCTTATGATGCCAAAGTCATCAAAGTATCCACCTCTGCCTTCGGTTCCGAATGGTTCCTTAAATGAAATCAGAACCGATGCAATATTTTCACGATTCCATGAGGGGTCAAAAATAGAATTAGCAAATCGAATAGTCAACAAATTCTGTACCATTTCCTTTCCAAGATAATGATCTATTCTATAGATCTGCTCTTCCTTGAAGAGACCCGCAAGATGCTGGCTTAATTTGTTGGAAGAAATGTCATCTCTGCCGAAGGGTTTTTCAATAATAACTCTGGTGTATCCTTTTATTGACGTACAGGCGTTTCTGATATTTACAGTAA